GAGAACTCGATCGGAGTGGATTCCTCCTTGAAGGCAGCTGTGTCGTCCTCGAAAACACTGTTCTTCTTTTGATATGGGCACTTGGGAAAGGGCAACCTGAGAGGCCGTTCTTCAGACGTTCGAGAGTGAAAAGGCTCGACGTTCTTGGGATTGGTGTTGCACCTGGGGCTCGGTGGTACCGTCTGTGTGGGAGAGTCTGGAAGTTCGCTTGGTGACACTGCACCACTGGTTAATCTACTAAAGTCACTGATGATTGAGCTCCGGTCGTCGTGAATCGAGTGCTGCTCGAACCCACTGAGGGAACCGAGAGAGCTACATCTCGAGAACATCAGAGGTGTCTCCTCTGCATAATGATCCTCACCCCCAAATGTCACGACTTTCGACTCTTTATCGATGATTTTCTCAGGAACCTCTTCCTGCTTGGGCTCCTCCTTGATCTCCACGAATTTCTCTTCCTTATTCGTGGCACTGGCTCCCTCAGGTTTTTCACTGGATGATAACCCCTTCGCTGCAACTCCACTCTCCAGAGAATTCAGGGAATTGGCTCTGGAGACTCCCCCCGAGGACCTCTCATTATAATAATAATTTACTTCAGGGGATTGGGCATTATTCGCTTCCAATATCACTCTGTCCTCACTCTTATCCAAATCATTCATATTTTCAGAGACTTCTTCCTGCTCCACGGGGTTACCACACTCGTTGAACTCTTCAATCGTCCCCTGGATGTTCTTCACGACTTTCTTTGAGCTTTCCCCTTCCTTAGTGTCCTCCAAACGAAGATCTGACATGGAAGTGGCTGTAGAAAAATTAAAAGGGGTCTCGTAGGGGGTTCCCTCGGTGCAATAAGTTTTCACAGTGTCCTCTTGCTCTGTTCCTGCATTGAAGTACTCCCTTTCCTCTTTCTCTTCATCATCTGTATCGTCCTCTGCGTAACGCAAACTGTAATCCGTCGGTTGATCCAGATCGGTTTCAGCGTAGTCCCCAAATAAATTCTCATTTCTCTCTGAGAACTCCTTCTCCCTCGTTTCAGATTTCACCTTTATATCGGACCTCTGCTTGGTCGCTGGATCATTCTCCAGGTATTTCTTGCTGTAATCCACCGGGGAGTCTCCCTCAGTCTCGTAAATAGCATCATTGCTCTGACAATCTCTCTCGAAGTATGATGAACCCACTGGTGATCCCTTCCTCTTCTCGAACGGACTCTTCTCGTAATCGAGCTTATCGCCCTCGTCATTTCGATCACTCGTCCTGGACTCATCCAGGGAATTATTCGTCTGGATGTGTACGTGCTGATCGCCCAAGGGACTCGATGGAGGTCTTGAGAATCCCTCGGACCTCGAATCTTTTATATCTTCCTCTTCAGCTTTAACAGGTGCACATGACTGCTGCTCTCCCTCATCCTTTTTTATTCCTGGATCTCCACTAATTGGAATCGTCAATTCAAAGGCATTGTGCTCTTTAGCTGTCAGAAGATTCTTCAGAGCATGAGAAGCGCCAGTCGATATCATCTGGTGGTTCGACTGCACCAGATTCTGGAGGATCGGGACTGCCCCCAAGGCCCAGAGAGTCTTCTGATCCTT